ATATTGGATAGTTATCAGACAATTATAATAATTATCACAGGAAATAACATATTTTTGAAGTCGGTTAAAAACGAACTTTGCCTGACTATAAATTAATAATAAAATGAAAGATCGACGTATGCAATATTTTATTTTAAATTAATAAGTAATTTAATCACGTCAGAATAATATGATGGATGAATTAACGCATTAATGAAACAGTCCCGCTCACGTCTTAGTAATTGAGATGCTGAAACTGCTAACTGGCTGAAAGTTACACAGGATCAAGCCACGTTGTTACTTAATTGTAATTTACTGTCTGAGAGGACGAAGCCGTAAATTGCTATAGAACTTACATGGAACATTTCTTTTTTATTTTATCCAAACCTCATTGTACACAAAACAATACGAATGGCGGACTATACTCCGTCCGTCCAACCATTTATTTAACTTTTGATAGCTCGAATTCTAATCAATTAGTGATGTTCTGATGCGTTTCCGATTCGATTTTTTATAACAAATCGATTTTATTTATGAAGAAGTTTTAATCGTGAATGTGAGCGGGTTCGAAAAAGAGGATATTGTCTGATTGGGATCGTAATGTAACGTTTGACAATTTGTGTACTCAAGAATTAATAATTAATGTTTATGAGGATTCAAGTGATGATTCATAATGGAGACGAATCCGACGATTCATTATATTAAACAATAAGAATTTATTATAACTATTTATAATTTATTTCATTTCATTGTAATTTATAAGACGGGTACCAAAATTTATCAACTTGAATAATCTTCGTTATGTATTTACTCGACTCGATAAATATCGGAGCTAAAGAGCACGTCGCTTCACTAAAATTAAAAATAAAAAAGTCCAGGAAGTATAGCATTTTTTGTCTATGGTTGTATATCAATAATTACGGAACTTCGGAGGTACGCACATGCCAAAAGTTAAATAAATGGTGGACGGAGTATGAATGCCATTAAACATTCTTTACGAGTCTCAGTTGACTGTGTTCCGAATAAAAATAATAATAATAATAGTGGCGTGTCGCTTCCAGCACAAATGCTGAAGGTGATTCTGCTCGATACAGCACGCATTGTTCGCCGGTTCTCGAATCTGAGTCCCTGACCCCGGCCGACTATGCTAGAGCAGGGAAATACCGCCTCTCCCATTTAAAAATTCAAAATTAATCTTTTAGGCCTTGGGAGAGGCGAGAGTCTAAAGTAGATATATGTATAACTAAATAAGTGCTTGTTTACCATGTTTGGCTTGTTAGTAATTGACTCAAGGGACTTTCAAGCGAGGCTAACCTGTGTTATGAAAGTCAGTGGTTCGGTTACTTAACAAGTTTACAAGCATATTTATGGTGCAGTATATGGAATATTACAGAAAGAAAAAAAAACAAGCAAACAAAAGGCGTAAGGTTAATAATTAAAATTATACATAATGGATGTAATAAGTAATAATAATGAACACGTGGTGCATAACATTACAAGCTAAGATTAAACAGAGTGAATCGAAAGTTTTAAATAATTATGATGCAGAATTTACTTACAGACAATAAATAAACATAGAATATTTAACAATATAATGCATGACTATACAGGGCGTCTCACGGCTATGCCACGCGGAGGGAATTTTACTGAAAGAAGATTTCACATTGATTTTAAAAACAATTCGAATTGCATTATTTATTTTTTTTACATAATCGTAAAACTAGAGATAATCAGAATAATAAAATTACTGGTCTTTTTTTTTCGCATTTGGCGAGATTCGATTCCCGGTTCAGACAGGTGATTATTCAAAATCTTTGAATGCCATACCCAAAGTATATATCTGTATATATAAATATATATAAACAATGCCAGACGAATGGGATACTGATGGAAACAACATAAAATTGTAATTATTAACAATGTTTACGTAGTAACTATTGAGTAATCTGTTGAAATGTAAGAGAGGCACAATTTAACTAATTTAAAAACTGTTTACTACATTTTACAGCAAGTTCTTATTCTTCCTGTAAATACTTTGAAGACACTTGCAGGCAACGATTAATATTGTAATCTGCTAAAACATAGACAAAGAATTAGAAGCATTATACGAAGAAGCGCAACAGAAAGTAGTTCATGCTAATTATTAGATATCAAAACTAAATTCCAAGCTTAATACACGTACATCGCAAGACGCAACAAGTTTCCCTAAGTGGCTAATGTATTCCGTACACTATGAATTATTTACCACAGGCAAAATAGAAGCTACGACGTCGAGTTGCGGATACCACACCACAGGTTGCGAGTAGGGCTTTCAACCTGGGAATTGCGATCTCGAAAATTTCGAGAATCTCGACGATTTTTTGGCATATTCGACCCTACAGGGCACTATTACCCTGTTCCTGACCCCTGACCAGCCCGTAAAGCGTGATAAGTTAAGCATAGCGTGCGCCCGTCACGCGCCAGCGCTCGGTGTGTTGTCATCCATATAAAAACACGGAGTTAGACCCGCCCCCGCTCTCTGTGTTTCACGCCTTAACGCAGACTTCATCCGGTTCTCAGTGGGTGCTGAAGAATCCTAGGTAGGGGTCTCGGAAGTAATTGAGGAGCGTTAGTGCTGTCCAGGTAGTGCTACCGCATTTAAAAAAAGCCTGAATTTTTGGGTTAAGTTAATATAAAAAATACGTCCTTTCAATTATTTGTTGTGGTGGTGGGCGATAATTTTTTTTTTATCTTGCCTAAGTAAGCGGTGAGCCTGAAGTCTGGGAGCCTATGAGCTAGTGCGTTGAGTGAGTGCTAAACCATCTACTAAACGAACAGCCCCTTAATTTTCTTCTACATAACTTTTGTTTATAGTGACTGTCCCTATCAACCTCTTGGTTGTACGGGAAAGGTAACCTGTGCAAGCTAGCCCGCACAGGGACCATCTAAGTCAGGTCGTAACTCCAGATTAGCCCATTTGCACGGATTTCATCCGGTCCTCAAACGGCCAGGTGAGCAGCCCCATGTGCACGTACAGCACCCTCCCTATTTTCCAGATAGGTACCGGAGCTGTAGGGACGCTCACTTTCCGTTGCGCTCTGCACAACTAACAGTTGCCACCGCTGAGTCGTCTACTCTAAGTCGACTACCAAATCTCGTCATTGGTGGCGGATGGATGAGGATGACCTGAGGATGTCTCGCTCATCCTCTACTAGCTCTCCAGGCAAGTGCCGGAGATGCAGTGTCTGGACATCGCTCCTAACTTAAAGTAAACTTAAACTCACGTGCCCCGCGCGTCGACCGCCCCGACCACTTGCTACCGGGTCGGCCGAACGTGTTCATCCCTTCAACTACTAAACCAATTTTTTTTTAATTTTGTACAGTAGCTATAGAGCTTCTTGTGAAAGAATGTCAAGAGATGTACTTGCCAGCTTACCTATTCCTGCCGCCAAGTAATAATGTGAGCATTACTGCGTTTCGGTTTTGAAGGATAAGGGGGTTACATGGGACCTTTCAACTTATACTACAAGGTCACGAGCGCAGTGGCAGTGACCCTCAGATTTAAAGCTTTGAGGGGCACGGCACCTGCTAGGACAGGCGTGTCGCTTAACAACGTCCCGTCACTTGGTATAATAAAAAAGTAAAGGCAAAGCAAACACTTGACAGAAACGTGTCCTTTGCTACTAGGTATATGGTATATTTTATAATACCTTCATATGCTCGCAGATAATGTCTTGCGCCACAGCGCTCCACCACGTACTAAGTCTTTTTAACGACTCGTATATCATGTCGGGAGTGATCTGTATTATTAAAGGAATTTTACTCTTGTTTCTACTTACACAGAGTTACATTTCATAATATGAACATATTTAACGTTGGGACCCTTAGTGAAAAAAAACTGCCGTTCCATTCTTCTTGGTTGAGAACGTGTGAAAATTTTAAATAGACCTTAGCTAATATGCGTTAAATTAACTCTGGTCATTAAAATTAGTTTCATTCAAAAGCCTCACAGCTCTCGTCTCTCTAGCTTTAAGTAAACAGGCTATATACAAAAAATTGAAGTGCCCATAATGCTGAACAGTTTTAAATCGAAAATTATTATTCGAAATATAGGCGCCTCATAGATTTAGTATAGGTATATGAGGCGCCTTGCCGTCGAGTTGCGGACACCAGCCCGTTACACCAAATACCAAATTCGAAAAATATGTTTTCATATATGTAGGTATCCGCATTATTTGCTGTTGCAGATTTGAGTCGATTTTTTCTTATTGTTGCAACTAGATTTCCTACGTAGTTAATTTTCTACTAATCAAATACACAATCACATGCATAGGTACCTTCACAAACGAAGGCGACTCAGGTTCTTGCTGGTCACTTGGAGTTGTCGCATTGGTTTTTAGAAGTAACGGCGAAAGAATCTTGCTTGTAGATCCGATCTGGATAGCTTCTGCATTAACAAATTTTAGATTTTAATAATAATATTAGATTTAGTATACAGTTTCTTAAAAATAATCACATTTGTTTTGAATTCTGTTTAAATAGTCATTTTTTGGCAAGAATAAATATCAATTTGTTGACCTGATATTGCAGCATGGGCGTTACAGTTCATTGGTTGCCTTGCAGTACGCTTCTTATTTTCAATATTTTTTTCTACGTGTCTTCCTTTCTTTTCTCTGGACGAAAAACGAGGCCTTTTTGCTTTAGATGACTTTCGTTTTGCAGTCTTCGATTTCTTTATATTTTTTCTAACGACCGGTTTACGCCGCTGACTCTTTTCCTTGTGCCTGGCAAAATAAGAACCTGCTATGGGATAGAAGCGTCAAAATAAAACAAAAACATCTTAAAAATTAAGTTTAATTGCACATAATACAATTAAATTAAATAATCACTTGCAATTTGAAATTAAAACGAACATATTAAAGCGATTTTTCAAGAGTCCTTGGTCAAATAGAAAATTTTATTTTCTACCTTCTGCCGCAACATCGGTGGCCGCAGAAGGTACAACTTGGGGCATTAGAGCTGCTTCTCGAAGATAACCTGGTGAAGATAGTGGACACAGAGCCAGCTCGACCACGTTTATTGCCACGTTTCCTTTTTACCGTTCTTCGTATACGCTGGGAGCGCCGTAATGGAGATCGTCGACGCTTGGACACTCGTCCACGCCGCAGTGGCTTCCTTTTTCGTTCTGGCTGTTTAGTCTTTACCAAAGTATTCTTCGGCTGCTCAGTCCTGGCGTCTTTGTCTGCTCTCATCTCAAGCCGACTTCTTTCGAAGGAAGCTTCTTTTGAGGAAGAAACAGACACTGTTGAATCACTATACGAACGATCATCTCGATCTCTTTCGTCAAATTCTTCTTCTTTTCGATTCTCTTCTTTTTTACTTGTGGACGCCTGGTTCTCCTCTTTCGTACCGTCATCGTCCATTGTTAGTTTCTTCCAGATGTAATTAATTTTGCCTTTTTACTATAAAAATAATTAAAAAATATCATATATCACTTTAGTTGGGTACTTGAAATTTTGTGTTCTTGGGTTATAGTAGTTAGCAGTAGATCACCATAATATATATATATTATAAAAAAAATCTTCAAATAATGTCAAAAGTAATAATAACACGGTACTGACATGGTTGTTCTATTGTTTTTCGTTTACTTCTTCTGGTGTCATTTGATAGAGCAATAATTTGAGGTCACCACTTTTTTTCCAAAAAGAGGTTAACATATAAAATGTCTTAAAACCTCACCTACTTTAAAATATTCTATATAAATTTTCAAGTATTCTATCGCTCAAAAAGTTTAAACTATCGCTTAACATCCAGCATTCAGTGAACTTCACGAGCGATTTATCAAGTCAAATGGTCACAATTACAGCGATGCAAGAAAATGTGTTAATGGGCATTTCTCCAAAGCCGTAATTTTCTGTGTCCATGTACTAAACTCCAGTTATTTATCAAAGTAAAATCTACAAAAGAGTGTATAATATAGGTCGAAAGCTAACTGGAGAGCACAAAATTTTCCCAATAAACCTTCCGGTTCTGACCTTATAAAAAAAAATTCGAAATGCTTAAAACCTGACAACGGTGGCGTGTCCCGAATGCAGAATCGAACACAACATTGGACTTACACAATGTCATTTTTCTCAAAATGGAAACAGTATATCAGTGTCAGACTTTAGTTCACGTATAATAAATTAGACACTGGTTTTATCACAATACCAAGATAGCTGCGTGACCCATTGGGAATGGAATTCGGTGGTCATTACTAATCACGGTACACATCACAAGTAAAGCATTTTAAAAGCTTCGCAATTCGTTCGTATTATTCGTCCATCACGCCCCTGCGGCTGGAGAGAACAGGTGGATGATTTGTTGCCGATTTTAAGACTTTGCGTGTCAATACGTAATTCGGTGGATTTGGTCCAGATTGATTTTTGAATTCGGTGTATATGATATTTTAAAAACGAAATTTTTTGTTGTATGTAATATTTTTTATAATATGTATTGAAACGACTAAAATATAATAACAATTGATTGGTTTTACAAGTATTGTCGTTTACGAGTAAAATATATATTTTCTGAATCAAGTGGCCATGGATTCGTTGGATTTTATGCCACTGAATTCAGAAAAGCTTCCACCGAAGTCGGAGAAATTGCCACTAAGCCATATTTTCTTTGAAAAGCAAGAATTTTATAGGTTTTTTCATATAAATGTTTAGTTAATATTTTTGATTTTCACAGTTTTATATTATTACTTGTTAAGGCATGAAGCCTTTATTATGTTTTGTGCCTACCATAAAGATCGTTTCCATAGTACTTGTGTTGTCTGTCAATATAAAACATACATTGCTTCAACTGTGCTGAGTTTATTAAATCATCAGTTCTCATATTGATGGAGCCATAAAAATAAAAAGTGAAGTGATATTACCTCTTATTCGCTTCTATATATCTAATATATAAATCTTTAACGTTACTTGCTTCCCGCTGAAAACGAATAAGGAAAATTAAAACAGAAAAGAAAAATTGGAAATCAAGTCGATGAAGGAACGTGCTAGAAAAGCAAAGATAAAAAGTGATCCAATTATTTACGAAAGATTTAAAGAAAAAGATAGACAGAGGTACGCGAAGAAAAAGCGGAAGGAAAGATTTTGAAGTTGCATTAATTACCTCGTCATATACAAAAAGTAAGTAAAGACATTAATCGCGCAAGTTCCAAAAAATGATTGCTCTACAGATTGCATTCTAAATTTCTTTTTTAAAGAGAAATACGAAAATACTTTGCGTGATTGAAAATATGCTGAACAGCCAAACTGATAACTGTTTTTAATTAATAGTCATAAGGTGAAATTTGTTTGCGTTGTTCTGGTCGATTTATAAATAAATTTTAGTTTTTAAAGCTGACTTTAATAGTTAGCCATATAAGTAAATGTTTATGTACGTTATTGAATGTTAAATTATCCTGATTGCGGTGGTAGCTGAATTCGGTGGACCAAATATGTCACTGTAAAGAATCTAGTTGCCCAATTAACGGAATCTTATGTATGTTTGAGTTCATTTTCCTTTCCGCTCTATATTTTTTCTAAAATTAAGAAAAAAATTCACCCACTAAAGTTAGAGAACTTAGAAAAATGAGAAAAGAGAAATGCCCTAATATTAAACTGTTAAAAATTGCTGCCTATTTCAAAAACACTTAATTATTATCGAGTTCTTAGGTTTTCGCGATTGTTACACATAGGAAATGAAACTATTTTTCCGGATTTAAATCGCGTATATTTGTTTTTTCAAACAAACCGACGTTTCGGGCCCTTTACAGGTCCCATGGTCACGGTTGACTGAGGTGGTACAGTCTTCAACCAGTTATGTCTAATATTGATGCAAACCACCCTATTTTTTCACTATAGTTACAATAGTTATTAATTAAATACCTTATTTTTAATTTTACAAAGAAAACATTCCAATTTACGCTATATTAAGTTTTACAAATTATTTTATTGAATGAATTTTTATTAAGTTCAATTTATTATTAATTATTAATAGAAATTAGAATAAACTAAAACATATTAATTAGTACTGCAGTCTTATGTCTGTTTGTGATTTTTCATTAGAGGAAATACTGGATCCCAAACTGGTGGTACGGAGAAACCATCTTCCCTGTTGAAATTAGGATGTTTATTAATTTCAATGGCCTGTCGCAGCATCCTGGGTAGATAACGGACTTCTTTTGCAAGGACCTGGGGTTTGTCAAACTTCATTGAATGTGTAGGTTTATCCATGACATGCTCGCAGATTGCAGACTTGTTTACGCGACGGAGTTTGACATCAGCTATATGTTCTTTGACGCGGGTACAAATACTTCGCTTTGTTTGTCCAATATAAGAGAGACCACACTCACAGTCAAGCTTGTAAACTCCTGCATCCTGTAAGGGGATGTTACATTTCACGGGTCTCAAGAACTGAGAAATCTTCCTCAGGGGCTTGATATAGGTCTTGATAGATGGGCGCCTGAGGACTCTTCCGATCTTGTCTGTAACACCTCTCACGTAAGGTAAGATGGCAGGTCTTCGCTCGACTGTTGGTGGTTTCACACGGGGCCTGCGGCATTGGCGTGGAATCTTCGACTTATTCGCATGTTGAACTTGCATTATATGCTGAAGTTCCCTTGCCAGACGATTACTGTCGCAGACACCATGTGCACTCTGAAACAAAGATTTGCCCACGGTAGCTAACTGGCTAGGATGGTGATGGGAATTACCATTGAGATATCTATCTGTATGGGTTTTCTTTCGAAATACAGTATGGCCTAAGGTGCTATTAGGATTTCTTTTAATTAAAACATCTAAGAAAGCTAAAGTACCACAATTCTCTTGTTCCATAGTAAATTGGATCTTAGTACTAAAAGAATTAAGATGGTCCAGTTTGTAGGTTGGTGTGTCAATCTGGCTAACTATGGGACGGAGTGGGGTGTCAGCCTAATGTATTTTTGGTAACCCATACAGTTTTGGTGGTTTTACGGAGCAGGGTACAAACTCACTTACATCAAGGTTCAGCGTATCGGAGTGCTTAGATATTGATTCGAGCCCTAATTAATTATTAGGGCCCGAAACGTCGGTTTGTTTGAAAAAACAAATATACGCGATTTAAATCCGGAAAAATAGTTTCATTACTTAATTATTAGTTTAAATAAATTGAGGCGTATTTGAGGTGCAAAGCCGACGAGTCGTGTACAAGCAAACATTGTTACGTGCCCAGTGCCTTCATTCCCAGTAATATCATAGTGCAATAAGACGAATATGGTAATTCCACACAAATGTAGCAGCGCGACTTGTTTGTGTGTACGCCCGCCGCGTGTCTTGTACGGACGCACACATTCACATAATTCGCAGTGCACTCGCATTGCATAGCTCTGGTCGTCGCAAGCTTCATTAATTATACAATTGGAGTTGTCCCTCGGTATTTGAAAAAATGCCATTAAAATAATAGTCGTGGTTATTATTGTGTTTGTGGTACTTTGAACAAGAGTGCCTCAAATTTAGAATTGTTCATTCATAAGCATACTCCATAAACAAGATACCGTTCCGTCGAATCCAATAAAAATAGCAATGCGTATTATTTCAAAATAGGACGAAAATACTGTGATAATCACCTTATTTTTTTTTTTTTTCAAATTACACGTAAGTACAGTGGTACAACCTAGGCATCACTCAAATAACAATGTAACAACCTTATGCTCCAAGTGAACTACAGACGTTTATGTGCTTAAAGGTGTTTTTCCACTGGCGAAGCGAGAAGCGAGAGGATTGAAATTTATTTGGCAAAACTTAATATCTCGGCTCGCGTGAGTTATTAAGGCGAGTTACCGGAAGAGAAGTGGAAGAAACTGTTTTGCAGATGAAATGGTTTTAATATTTACTACTAAAAAACGGTAATATAAATATACTATGCCTAAGGATATTATTGTTTAAATAATGTGGTAATTTGTTACACGATAGGATGTACTTTACCCAATCTTATAAAGTCCCGAAAAGTGGCTAAAATAATAGTCTAAAACTAATTATTTAAGAATAAAATATATAACTTTGCACATTTTTTATATGGAGATATTTCGCTTTAACTACTACAGAACTCGCACCTGCTCAATTTTGGTTTTCAACTGAAGCCCCTACAGTTATTAAATTCACATTTATCTTAAAACTTGAAAATTCTCCAGCAGTTTAACGATACGCCGCGCCGCCCGTTGTCCCATCAGTCGCCATCGGGCGCTTGTCAACGTCGGATCTGTGTCAAATTTTCTCCACCTGTCCTTATTTCATTCATATTAATTTTAAGCGTGCGGATTGCGGGACGCAAGTGGTGACACCGCACCCCTCACCTTCTAAAATCTAGGCTCTCCTAACCTAATGACAATGTTTGGTGGAAATACGCCGGCGACATTTCAATTCTCGTCTCGCCTCGCCGCCGATGAAAAACCACCTTAACAAACGGGAGTTGCCCTACTTACTCATAATATACTATGGTAATATTGTGCCATCGAGTCTTAGAGGATAGAAAAAAATATAAATCGAGTACATTGTGCACATTCAAAATGCAACTGTATAAAGAGTAAAAAAAATTGTTACGCTACGGGTTACAATTTTAAAAAGGCAACATACCGGAACACAGGTGATTTTGACAGATTGTTTCAGAGGTGTAACAAACAAGTCTATTTGAATCTAGGCTATGGAAAAAAAATAGATGGTGATTGTTTGCCAAATAATATATGAAATATATATAGATTTTTTTTGCTCTTCAGCTGTTGGTGCGGACTGAGCAAAGCAGCTCATGGCGCGAACATCCAAACGGCAACGCCAGGAGAAGCGTGGCTGCCCACCAGGCACACGCAGCCTGCCCCCACAGATGCCTATGGCACCGTGGAATTCCAGGGCGGACCACATCCTACTAAGGCTCAGGTAAATCCTCAACGTTTATGTATAAAACCGATTTTGGACTCTATTGACGTAAAGGTCAAAATGTCGAAAAAGAGTTATATACACATTTTTTTCAGCTTTTTTAGCTCTATCGAACTGTATATTTAAAATTTTGATATCTCCTTAAAAATATCACTTTTCAGCCGAATGTGTTTTGTTAACCAATGGCAAAATTCTAAATGTCGAGGGCGTAAATATCAAACTTAAAATCTAGAAAAACTAGACGTTTAAGAACAAGTCGCACATAAGCATTGGTGTAAAACATTGACTTACAAATAAATGGACGACGGGTCTAATACAAAAACCACGAAAAAAATGTCCCAAGTCAACCTATTTAAACGTAGTGACATGTAAAGGAATATGAAAAAGCTAAAACGTTGAATTTAAATTGTAATGTCATCGCAGTACTGTCTAATTTTGCTTGCTTCGCTGTCAGTCGAACAATCGAAGACTAAAGCGTGAACGACGCTCTGTATACGATTTTAACGCCCTATAAGTTCGGACACTTTTTAGAGCGGACCCGACGTCCATATAATTGTAAGTCATTGGTGTAAAAGCCATTTTTTTGCACGCTCTTTACAACCCTTATCACACGTATTTTGAAATGCTTTTGTTGTAAGATGATTTTAATTATGATTATGTTGATCACTAGCTGTTCATTACAAGTATTAGCACAAAGTTATGTAACAGGATTACGAGTTAGCGTTCGTTAAAAATTAATGACATTTACAACGCTAGTTAGCGACATGATGCCAGTATATCTTCGTATAGGCCAATAAATAATCGAAAAACGTAGAAGAAATAAGTAATGGTACATTGCATCTTAAGGTTATTCACAATATTTTAAGTAATATAGAAATACTTCTATCAATCCTTGGCGGTTTCTTACATGAAGAATGGTAATAGAATACACTAGTGACTTCATTTCATCATTCTGGTGATGACAAGAGTTGCATTGAAAAGTTCACTTTTTTTAGTAGTTTTTTTTTAGCGTAAAGATGCGTTGTTTACATTAACATCCCATACTGGGATTATTATTTTATCTTTAAACAACAAGTGATTTTGTGACTTCGGCGTATAAAACTTAATTAGCGTTACAGTTTCTATCATTAAGAATCGATACAACCGCAAATGGATTCGTTTTCACGAATGTTCACGATATAAAAAAGAACACAAACTTACTTCGAAACTTTACAAGACAACCGCTGTATTCAATAGGTTTCACTTTTTAACCGACTTCAAAAAAGGAGGAGGTTCTCAATTCGACTGTATGTTCTTTTTTTTTTCTTTTTTTTTTTGTATGTATGTTACGCGATAGCTCCGGTATTTGTGAACCGATTTTCATGATTCTTTTTTCATTGGAAAGGGGGTAATTCCATAGTGGTCCCATTTTATTTTGAAGAAAATCAACCACCTCAAAGGGTGGAGAGCACGCATGAAGATTCATTTTTATAAATAGCGCCTGACTTTAATTTAGGATCCATTACTTTTAGCAATTATTTAGTTGGTCTTGCTATTTCTCCAATTCAAGGCGTTTTTATCTCGATATACTTTGAGTAATGTCGTAGTGAGAACCTATTTTTATTATCTCCAGTATCAAGTCCTGTATAGTGGCGAACTAGGGGATATTTCAATGAAACTTAGTAAATAGATGTAATTCCACGTACTTTTGAGGTCGGTTTTTTTAGTACTCTGTACTGAGATTATTGTTATATCAACTGAACTAAATGGAATACGTTCTTATACTACTCATATGATATACATTTTTCAAATTGCTTCAATTTCGAACAAATAACAAATTCTGAAATAAAGCCTATGTCCCTGTCAGTACGGTCTGTCTGTACAATTTAGTCAGGAGACGTCATCTGCTCGCGTCCAACGTTTAGTAAGCACTGCCCTCGTCGTACTTTGTCAAAGAAAGGAAGGTCGATCGTCATCTTTTGTCCAAAAGAAAGTTGGTCTAATTTCGAATTCCTGTCAGTCTAGTAAATCTGTCTTTGTGGCCTGTCAGTCTGGTGGTCATGGAGGCGACACTGTCGCTCGACCCAAGCGAAAAGAACCGTTAGTACGGGAAACATTTTTGAATTCGAGCTTAGGTAGTATCGACTCATAAAAGCAAAACTTTTGCAATTTTTAAACAATAAAGACGTGTTTCGTGGTCAAATGTTCAATTCATGTACATATTATGCGTACGACCTTTAATTTTTTCTTATTTTTTTAGTTCGAATTTGATGCAACTTCTCATTTAACTATCTCTCCTTTTTTCAGTACGTTCGTCTATCCCACGACACCAGGCCAGAGTTAATAGTCCAGTTGCTAACTCGAGAATGGGCACTCGACCGGCCGAAGCTCCTCATCACCATCCAAGGCGGCAAAGCTAACTTCGATTTGCAACCAAAATTGAAGAAAGTACTTAGAAAAGGCCTTTTGAGAGCTGCAAAAACAACCGGCGCTTGGATATTTACAGGAGGAACTAACACAGGTAACTGCTAATAAATAAATTATTGTACAAGCAACGGCTCCAGAGAGCAAAATTAAGAAACTTTTGCATTACAATAGTTTTAATAAAGACAATATAGTCTTAGCCTTATCTGTTTAATCTTAAGATAGCAAATGCAGCCGTTATAGGCTGCTACTTACCGAAAAAACTCTATCGACAGCTAAACGACTTCAAATGATAATTAACAAAATCAATCCAGCGCCGTCTACCGAAATTCAAACACTAAGTTTCAGTGCCTTTCTATTTGTAATAACTCTATGTCAAAATAGACGATCCTCTAAGATCAGTATCGGCTGTTCTTCTATAAATATCAACTCTATAATATCTATAGATTAAATACCGTATCTGATTGGAAGAAATGCTAAACATTAATAATACCTTAACTGCCTCCGTGGTCGAACGGCTACCATTGCCACGCAGAAGTCCCAGGTTCGATTCCCGGACCGGGAGAAATGTTTGTATAGCCTACATTTATTTCTCTCGTAAGTTTGGGTGTAATTTGTGGTTGTCTATGTGTGTGTCCATGCCATTCGCGACACATGGTTTCCCTAGTGCGGAGATTTGTTGGGTGTGTGCGTTATTATTATTACCTTGTTCTTATGTGTGTGGAAATCGGTGCCTATAGTAATAGTTAACTTATATATACTATAGTCTCACTACCAGCAGCACCCTGTCCAGACACAGATCTTCTTACAATGAGAGGACTTGGGTTACCGTTCCAACAGGGTACTTCACACGCATCATTAAAATGCTTTGCAAATGTGTGTCAGTTTCTGCACGATGTTTTCCTTCAGCGAAAAGCTCACTGTAAATTCGAAATTAAATTTCGCATATAAATTCCGAAAAACTTAGAAGTTCAAGCCCGGATTCGAACTCACGACTTTCTGTTTGAGATGCGGTAGGTCAAACCGTAAGGGCGCATTTATTCGACACGAATTTCATCGCGCTCACCCCGTCGCGTCCGCCGCGCGGTCGAAGAGCGGAATCCGCGTTGCCGCCGCACAGTGACCGCGTGCGTCTTAACTGTCATGGCAAAATACGTTTTTATTTGTTTAGCCTTTACGTTTTTACTTAAATAAGCGTCCCTGCCACGCGGGCGAGGCTGGCTTGAATTTGGTCTACTGGTTTAACCGCGCACTTGTACTATTTAGAGTAATTTAAATGTTGTTGCCGCGCCCGCGGCGACCGCGCGAAAACTTTCGCCTCGTGTAAGTAGGCCTTTAGGCTACCACGGCTATGAATGTGCTATTATAGTATGTAGTAGATACTTTTATTCCAAAGGGAAACATTTTTTTAAATTCCTGACGTAGTGACCAATTGAGTAAAGTAAATAATGCTCACACGTGTAAGGGAAAACATAGACAACCACAAGTTACACCTAAACCAACAAGAGAAATATGTGTAAGCCATGCAAATATTTCTCCCGGCCCGGGAATCGAACAAGCATGGAAACCGTTCGCCCAATGGGGCAGTTAAGTAACCGCAAAAATGTACTTTACTGAATTAAGCAACCCTTCCACAGGTGTAACTCGTCAAGTTGGCGATGCCTTGCAACTGGAGAGGTCTCAACGGGCCGGGCGAGTGGTCAGCATTGGCATAGCGCCCTGGGGCATCGTAGAGGGCGCCAACGAGCTCATAGGGAAGGGGCGGGACGTGCCGTACCATGCTATTGCTTCGCCGAGGTAAGTAATTAATAAAATGTTAAACTAAAGTGTTTGATAATATAAAGACACAGATACTGATTATCGTTTATTACTAACTTCAATAAAACGTCACAGTTAAG